CGCTTCGGTGGCCTCTTAAATTAGACCCAACCGAGGGCGAGCCTCTTGGTCGCTTCGGGGCCCAACCCACATGAACGCTTCGCGCTTCCGTCAGTTTTCATCCCTCAAGATTTGCCGTTGAGCCTTAGAGACTTAGGGGCCGTTCAAGTATTACATATAACCAAGTTCAGCGAACATTGTATTACACAATGTCTGAAAGGTAGTGGCACTGAATATATTGGTATTCGGAGGGTAGCCGAGTGCTAGAAATGCCATCTCTGATGAGAAATAGGTACTAAGCACACATTGATGTGTTTTGATTATTGAGCGTGTTTTGATCTGTTAATTTGTTTATCAATTGATACCACTGAAATCTGTTACCTTGTCTGAAATTAAATTATGGCCTTTGTGACTTATACTTTGTGACCCTGATGATGAAGCGCTTGCTTCGAAAAGCTTCGGTCAATGTTTATTAATAAAATGTAAGTGTTTTTTATAGAAAATATTACATTATTTCTAGCACTTGGCTACTTTCCGCATACCAATAACGAACTTNGGGGGTGAAGTCCAACGATAAGTAACAAATCCAAGCCGGGGGAAAACAGAAAATTTTGTAAAAATCGTGCAAAAAGTTAGAAATCCCGACCCTTTTCTGAAAATTGGGGGGGGGGAGGAGTTCAGGCCACTGCTACGTAATTCGAAAGGGAGGGTGTAGGGCTGCGTTACAGGTGCGTTACTTGAGGGAAGGGGGGTTCCAAAATCGGAAAAAGTGCGTTACGTAATAATTAAACGGCCCCTTAAGCTCACATTTGTAATCTAATGTGAACAAGGGTCCGTCCACAAGTTATCGAATTAAATACTTGCATACTTGTACTTGTCGAATTATGTATTATTGAGATAGAAGAGAACCTTGAGAAATTACTGGAAAAATTAAGTTTATCGAAAAATAAAGTAATACACTTTTTAATGGAAGAAGCCTAAACAAGACTGGACTTGAATCCCTCAACTTCCTCGTATAAGATCCGGTACTGCAAGTTTAGGTGCCTCTTAGGTTTTTTACGTAACACTTGGCCTTGGCATCCCACCCTCGATATTTCCCTTGAAAAAGTGTTGATATCCGAAAAGAAATCATGTATGGAAAACCATGATTTCTTTCACTCAGTTGGAAACAATAATTAATGAACTGCAGGCTGCTCAGTTCATTTCGCTTTGCGCCCTTGATTTGTCATTTTGCTAGGAGACTTTTCAATGACGTCTGGCATCTACGTCATACCGAGCGCGTAAACCGATTTTTTTCGCGCTGTAATCAGTGTTGAATGCCGCACCGCAGAGAAACTGATTGAATTAAAAACGGGACAGCCAGTTTCAGTGCGCTCCCTCTTTTTTCTTCTTTTTTTGCAGGATGTCCTCTTATGCTTCTTCTTTTTCCCTACTCCACCGTTGGCCCATTTCTCGAGGATCGAAATGCAACGGCTTTCCCTGGAAGCACGTCCGTCTAATTCAATTATCGAACAACTCCTGTTTGAATCAAGGGCGAAGCGTAAATCATCGACTTTCCATATTTTTCCACAAGAAGCTACGCTAGAGAATCGATTATTATGCTGTTCCTTGCCAACACCCTTTACTATCGGTTAATAAGGCAGATCAATCGATTCATCGCGAGTCAAGACCCGACACTGAGATGAATCGCTCATGTTTAAAACCGAAATAGTATATTAGCTGGTGAACTCTGAGATGCACCGGATTGTTTGTATTCTAGGGCTCATCCACTGATAGCCATGCTTGGTTTGATCGTATTGACGCGGCTGCCTTTTTTGATGGGGAAAGAATCAAAAGATTTTGTCATAGATTTAATTTGGCTTTTGTTAATGTCGAGGCATCTTTTTCCGCGACTAAAATTACATTCATCCCTATTTATTCCCGATCCCCTTTTCATGATTAAGCCTTTTAGAGTGAAATACTCATCAAAGGTATTAGCATTAATCTATGTATCCTGATTGAAAACCTTTAGCCTCATTTGATATGATTTTAAAAACCGAGGGCGAGAAAAATCACAGCGTAAACAAAAGTCACAAAAAGAATATTGTAAGCGACGTGCACTTTAAAAGAGCTCTGGATTCAGTCCGCGAACTTCACTGAGAAACAAGAATCTTAAAGCCGCCAGGAATAGAGATGTGCCCGTGATTGCGATCGCAGTGAAAAATCACCATGATTTTTAAGTAGCAAATAGCAATCACTGTGATTTTTAAGGGTTTATGTTCGATAAGTGGTTTCAATCGTCATCAAATTCTCTCGGTAAAATCTACTGCCGTAAATACGGATTGGAAATCCAGAAACGGGTATTTTTCATAGTTTTTTTCGAATTTACCAAGTATTTTAATGGCTGAGAAGGAATATCTTTTCTTCATTGCACCATTTCAAAACCTCAAATTATACTTTACTCTTTTTAAAGAAGACTAATCAAACCGTGTATTTGACATTGGAGGAAGTTCACGATAAGTTTCAAGAAAAAATGTTGCTTCCTTTACAAAAAAAAAAAAAAAATAAGCCGAGAGCGGTCATTTTCACGCCACCAAGAGAACTGCACAGTTTCTGATTTTAGCCATCCTCTTGCACCAACCATACTCTACCGCCCACCACAAATATTAATGGCCAGTACCCAAAGCGAATTTAGTCACGGCACTTGACTCGTAAACGGAGTCTATTCAAAACCCAAACTTAGAGAAAATTAAAATTCTTTAGAGTCATTTTGAGTTACTTTAAAGTGAATTACAATTCAAATGTCAATAAATGTGACTGGGAATCAAATTAATTAAAACGCACTCTTTGACTCGAAAGTAGAGAGAACGTTACCTCCCGCTCATCTCACTATGAGACCAGAATATTATTATTCACCGAATATGGACCAGAGATTTCTCATGGACNGGGGGGGGGGGGGGGGGGGGGGGGCGACGACAACTGAAAATTTCAGAAAATTCACTCAACAGTTCCCTCCCTAAAACAATAATCAGCAGTGGAGATTCTGAAGCACCGCAACCAAGAAATGCCCTTTTTGGACCCATTGCCTCAATTGAAAAAAAAAATTCTGAATATCAGGAAATATGAAGTTTTCATCAGAAAATTTCCCAGTTATGACTGCGCCAGTATTTTTTCCCCAGGAAAAGACCGAATNGGGGGGGGGGGGGGGGGAGATGCATTATTAGGCGAGAGTCGACAGGTCCGTCCGAGTTGCTGAGGAAAACTCGATCAAAGAGCTCATTCCAAGGAGGACGTAAGTGCAATGGACTCATCATTGCAATCGTGCCTTTCTTGGAGCCGTCGCGTCCGGGACGGGAATGCGCGTAGCTCGGGTTGCATACCTGGCGGGCGGTGGGCGCATCCGGGGCACCGCGTCGCGACTTCTATTCAATTACCCGATCTTGGCGGCGGATTCGATTAGTTTTCTTGTTTGCTCAGCGGATCAGACTC